TAGTTGTAGTTTTTTAACTAAGAACCACATTTTAGGTTTCCAACTTTAAGAGTTGTTTTAAGCTTAAGATGGAAAGTATTGCAAGAATATTGTAAGGATCTAGGGATCTTTGCAGAGTGAGTTCAGAAAGTTGTGTACAGTCATCAGAGGCAGCGTGTGTTCCACATGGAGGGACGTCTTTGCACAGTGCTGCGCGATGACTCGGCTCTGTGTTCCCAGCTCTTATCTCTGTGCCGTAGACCCTGGCCGGTCCCTTTAACCCTCACAGCCTCAGTTTCTTCCGGAAAAACTTGGGCTGGGATGGATCCCACACCCCACCTTGGTGCTGGGACTGCACTCATGGGAGAGAAACCACACTTAGCCTGGTGCTCCCTCTGGGGCTGAACTGGTCCTTTGGTACCTCAGGTTCAAAAGTGATAAGATCGTTGGGTAGTGATGAATATGCTCGCTCAACATACTGTGGAATGAAGAATGGATGCTTATGCGCGCTAAGACTACCTTTTAAACTCTGTCAATCTATGGAACATTCCAGTGAGTTAACCCGTGATGGTTTCCTGGAATCCTGATTCTGTGCATCAAAATATTCTTTATTATTTCTCAGTTTATTTTTTAACCAGAGCTTTCCTGTAAATTTTCATGTTCTAAAGCAACTTCAGTTCCAAAAACTTGAGGTGTCCTCTTGTTAAGTTTCATCTACGGAGCAGTGGAGAGCCGCTCTGTCCTCGGTGAGGGTGTAGCCACCCTTCGCTCTGTGCTGCATGTGTGGCAGTCGCAGAGGACAGCTGCAGCAGATGTGCAGGGATGCACTTCTTTATTCGACAGCTTCAGTATTCCACTTTCTAGGAAAACCTATCCACCAATTAAAATTATTTGTGACGTAGAAAAACAAAAGGCCTGTGGTGCCTGCTGTATTCCGGGCTAAGGGCGAAGGCCGGAGAGACACACCTGCCTCCAAGTAGTTTACAGAATTAAACTGTCATGATTTGAAGCCCCAGGTCAAGGGTTCCTCCAGAGTACTTTGACACGCCTTTGGTGTTATGGGGTTGCTCTGTCCTCTGCCAGTCTGTGAGCAGTCAAAGGGCGACATCTATTGGTCACCTCTCCTTGTCCCTTGGTGCTCAGGGTAGCACCTTTAAGAACAGGGTGATTTAGCACTAATGTGATCATTTGGGGCATCTGTGCATCTTCAGCCCTGGTTGGCTGTTTTTACTGTGGATTTAATTCCTGATACTCTGCCCTGGTCTTTTTTCTTCTGCTTGACTCTAACTTCCTCGAGGGAGGGACTGTGTCTCCTCCATCCACAGTGTCTCCCCAGAGACCTGGCCTGGTGTAGCACCCAATCAGTGGGCAGTTCCCGCATTTATTGCTCTCCAGCCCTGTGCAGGCTCCATGCTGGGTGCAAGGGCCACACGGCGAGCCAAGGTCAGGGGAAGACAGAGCTGGGCTCAACCTAGGGAAGAACTGACCCTTGGGCCGTAAGAGGCATCTACAGCGGGCTGTCCTGCTTTCCTTGCCCTGCAAGAGTTCCTACAGCGTCTCACTGCGTAATTGCAGAGGGTCTTTCCTTAGGGGTGGGATTGCAGGACAGGGGCCCCCAGGGTCCTTCCCAGTGCAGACTATAATTTTGTGTGCAGACTATAATTTTATCACCTGTACACCAACACTAAAATAGCAGTGTAAGTTGCATGAGGTTTGTGGGCCTGTTGATTTGGCTTGAGGTTCTTGGTGAGAGGTGATCTTGGCAAATATTTTGTCTCAGTTGTTTTCCTGTTGCTCCCATATGTAGATTAGTAATTAGTTTTGTAACAAGTAACTTCGGGATGATCCACCAGACCGAGCTGAGCTGCCTGCCTCCACTGTTGTTTTCAGGACTCAGTCACTGCCTGTGCCACAGCTAGTTACTGTTTAGGGGGAGTGAGCTTTGCGGGTGCAAGTAGAAATGGTTTAGGGACAGCTGTTTTCCTCTAGCCAATTTGAGATTATCCATGTCTGTGGAGATGTAGGCTTCTTAAAAGCCAGGCTCACAGGCCACATGCCTTTGTATTTCCATAACCTCCAGGGCAGGGCCTTGCCTGTCATAGGACCTAGGAGAATAAATGAGTGATCAAGTGTAACACATTCAAAGAGTAATCCATGTGCCATCTGGTCACTGAAGGTGGTGCCAGTGGAGAGGAAATCACAAGTCAGCGAAGCCTGGTCTGTTTTTGGTAGAGCTGATGAAACGTGATTTTTCCATGGCTAAAATTAGATCACTAAATTTTGAGGGTCATTTTCCACTTACAGTGTACCATAAGTGGCTATCTGACCAGTCATAGGTGACTGTTTCCCACAGTTCTCCCACGTGAACCCCACACTACAGCTGCCTCTTGTCTAAACTTGTCCTGGAGCCCAAAGCTTGGTGGTGGTTAAGGGGAATGAACTCCCTACTTGGGAGGCTGAGGCAGGAGAATCACTTGAGTCTAGGAGTTCAAGGCCAGCCTGGGCAACACAGTAAGGCCCTGCCTCTAAAAAAGAACAACAACAACAACAACAACAAAAAACCAAAAAAAGAGGTACAATTCCAGGTCAAAGTGGGGGACTACTTGTCAAGGGGAGACTATTCCAGGTCAAGGAGGGACCACATCAGGTCAAGGGCAGACTATTCGAGACCAAAGGTAGATCATTCCAGATCAAGGGGGGCATACTAGTTCAACAGGGAGGATTATTCCAGATCAAGGTCAGACTATTTCAGGTTAAGGGAGGACTATTCCAGGTGAAGGAGGTAGATGCAGGAATGGGTGCAGCTGGCCCATGTGAGAGGAAGTATTTTAGTTGATTATAGGGCTCTAAGTCTGGGTCACATGCTTGTCACCTTTCCGAGGCATGAATCAAGGCTTAGGCGCTTGGGTGCTAGTCCAACTTTATTATCTAGTCTGTGGTCATGACGTGTAGGAGACAGTCTGATATATATATATGTGTGTGTGTGTGTGTGTGTGTGTTATCTATATAATGACAACACTTGAAAGAGATGAATTGTATTGTCAAGTTAAAACCAGTTGTAAAAATAACTGTTGACGTATATTTTGCGTGCTCACAATGTATCAGATATGTGCTCAGAGCTTTACCTAGGTCATTTTATTGACTTCCCATGGCAACCCTGTAAGGATCATTAACCTGTTTCGCAGATGGTGAAAGCTCAGCTAACCAGTTTGTTTAGGAAGTGGTGCAGCCCAGAGCATGCCAGAGCAGAGGTCAGGCCTTGGACCTGAGGGACATTGTATTTACCAGTAGGAGGAGGAGAGCTGGCAAAGGGTCCATGAGGTGCAGGGAGCCCAGGGGACAGAGGGACAGAGGCATGGAGGCACAATGCCAGATAGTGCACTCCTCTGGAAGCTTAGATTTTTTGTTGCGTTACTTTGTTTTTATTGAAAGAGCCTCCTGATCCTGTATCTGTTTTAATGGATCAATGGAATAAACCCAGATATGAAAGGGCTAAGTACGTAAAGGTGAGGTGTGGAGCTGAGGAGCCTCGGCTGTCAGGAGGCAGCAGAGTCAGGAAAAATGTCAGAGTCTTGCTTTGCGAGGATTTGTTTGATTTGGGATGGGCTTTGTTTGGTTATTTACTTTTCCCTCGAATGCTGGAGGGCTGAGTGTTTGTAGGTGGTGGGGAGGGGCTGTGCAGGGCAGGGGCGGACCCCAGCCCGGTTACGGGGACAGCTGCAGGGTCTGCTGGGAGCCGCTGGGCGACCAGCTCCTGCCTTCGTCAGGAGCGGTCACTGAATGGCTCAGCCCTTGCCATTATCGTCCATCTGTGAGATTGATGGGTTTGTCGAGGCGTCCTCATGGGACCACAGGTTCTGTGACACCATTTTATGTTGGATTTGGTATATAGCTGGATTTCCCATATGCAGGCAAGAGACAGAAATGAGAGTTTTTAATGGTGATTTATGTGTATATATTTGGTTTGTTTCTGTAAGTGTCTGGTGATGGAGGGGGGGTTCTGAGCTTGGCCTGCTGTGGGGGTCCCAGTTGCCGTCTGGGCGCTGGGTCACTGGGTCCTGGCGGGTGAGCTGCGGAAGGAGCATCATCATCTCCCTGAGTTACTGTCGAGAGTGACGGAAAAAATAGTGGGGAAATAAGTTCTCGCTCTGACTTAGGTCACAACCCGGCCTTCGCAGGCCTCCCTGCTGAGGCCGCAGGTCAGTGTCTGCTTCTCTCTGGTTCGCGTTCCTTGGGGTGACTGGAAACAGGGATGGCGGCGTGGTCTGTCATCACGGCGTGGGATCGCTTTGTGACAGAGTCGTTGGGAAGGGAGGCGAGGCTCTCTGTCATCCTCACTCTCTTGCTCTTTAAATTGGCTTTGCTGGTTGGCTTGGCCTTCAGAACCCTCCTTAGATGCCGCGTGGGTGTGAGGTTATCAGGGTTAGGGGCTGGCCCGCTGCTAATCAAGGCTTCTCCCTCGTTGATCTTCGTTGGTGCTTGACATTCGAAATGTCAGCACTCAGCCACGGGGGGTGCCTGTCGAGGAGAAGGGATCACAGAAAAAGCACGTGTGCCACTGAGAAACGTGCTTCTGCAGAACGTGCTTGACCTGTTGGTGCCAGCACTGGCCACACCTCCCACCTGCCTTCTCAAGAGTTCTCGGAAATGAAGGGTCCCAGCAGAACCAGAAAGAGTTGGAGTAATGTCATGTTTTGTCTTCTGGGGAATTTCCCCCTTTCTGTTGCCTTCTCGCCGTTATCCCACTTCTACGTGTCGTAGGAATAGGTTAGGAACAAGGCCCTCCATGCCAGAGACCGCGTGGCCGCCCAGGCCCACCCCACCGGCCTGCATGCTGGCTACGGAACCCAGGTCCCTCAGGCTGTGTGTTCTTAGCACCTCTCTCCCAGTCCGGCAGTTGCCCACCCCTGTGTGCATGGGGACGGTGGTAATAGTTTTGGCTGCTTCTGTTTGTTAGCCATAGGTACCACACAAAGCATTTGTAAATAATGAACTCCAATCATTGCCATTTCTGCCTGCAGCCTGGAATTGTGTCGCCATTTAAACGAGTATTCCTAAAAGGTGAAAAGAGTAGAGATAAGAAAGCCCATGAGAAGGTGACAGAGAGGCGCCCTCTGCACACTGTGGTGTTGTCATTGCCTGAGCGCGTCGAGCCAGACAGACTGCTGAGCGACTATATTGAGAAGGAGGTGAAGGTAAGTCGTCATGGGCCGCAGGGCGCGCCTGCCAAACGACAGCAAAGATCATGCTTGTGTCCATCAAACACTCTGAGTCTATAAGACACTGCCACATAAATACCTTAGTCGATTATCCCATGAATTGTCTTGCCTATGGTGATGTATCTAATATCTAATAACCGGAAAACCAAAAACTCAGATTCATGTCTTCTAACCTTAGTTTCTGGTTCTTTCTATAGCAGCATGCCACCTTCTTTCTCTTTAGGGCCCAGCTGTGTGGGTAGCATGTGCTGCTTCACCAGAAGAGGGTCGTAGGGCTGGGAGAAAACACATGTCTCCTCTAGTTTGCGGATGCAGAGAGTTACTTGGTCAGGGCCATGGCCTGTTGCGAGTGTCACAGCCACAGCCTAGGACCTGGGTCCTGATTCAGACCATGAATTTGAGGCCTTTGTTGTGTCTCAAACGCCTGTGCCTAGAATACTATGCATCGGTCATGTGATGTGCGTGAGTTGATTTTTAGTCCCTTGCCTAAAACAAAAGTAAATGCATAAGAAGGTATAAACCCACGAGGTCAGAGAGAATGGGAAGGAAGACAGTAATGGGTGAGGGTGATTCGTAAACTTGGGAGAAGGAAACCAGTGAAGGTGAGATAACCAAGAGCTTATGCAGCCAGACCTGCGTCCCATCAGGAGTCCAGGAGGCTCAGGAGGGGCATGGGGCTGTCTGAATGTTCTGTAGGGGTTTCCACTCTCACTTGGCCCAGCCAGATGGTTAGCCCACCCCCACCCCACTGGGAGGTGGGGAGCTTTGGATATGAAGACACCTGGCACCAGGGTGGGTAGGGGAAGACCCAGACTGAAGACAGGAGGTTAAGTCAAAGCCTGTATGTGGAATGGTGAGAATTCCCAATCCCTTTCTCTGTCAAGCTAACAGAATGCCTGTAACTGGGCATTTCCCACAGAGGCTCCTTGGAAGGGTGCTTGGTGGGGAAGTTGGGCAGCCCATTCTAGCCCTGGGGGTTACCATCCAACCAGCCTAAATAAAGCCTGATGGTTGGGATTCCTGCCAGGCACCAGCTTCTGTCTGCTTTTCAGAGTCTCTTTTCAAACATAGGTAGCTGAGGATAAGTACACATTTGAGGTAAACTTTCAGCCTAAAGATAGAACCCAAGACAAACACAAAAAATAAACACCACTGAAACAGCAACAATGAAGAAAATAGAGGAAGGAATTGTAAAATGTATAATATTTTCAGAAAAATAAGAGGAAATATTGTTGATGACATGACAAGATTCTACTTTAAAGAAAAAGGTGAAGGGAAGAACTTTTGGGATTAAAAGTACGTTATGTTAACTATGTATCTTAAAAAATTGAATGGAGGGTTGAAAGATAAAGAAAATCTCCCAGAAAAAATAATAAAAGACTAAGAAAGTTAGTAAACAAAAGGTGAAAAAGAGAAAAAGAGGAAATTCGAGGATCGATCCATGAGGTTTGGCATCTGATTCACAAGAAGAAAGCATAGAGGAGAGGGTAAGAGGAAATTATTAACACAGTAGAGCGAGAACATTTTGCAGAATTAACCGATGGACACGACTCTCCTCACTGAAAGGGTCCCATCATGATGACTAGAAAGTCAGCTCTATAAACCTGCACTGGCAGTTATTGGAGGATGTTCTGCATCCAAACACTCGGGCAAACCAAGAAGAAGGAAAACGTGGGTTCGGAGCTCAAGGGGGTAGCACAGAAAAGAACAGAGATAATTCCCAGGATGGTAGAAAAGCAAAGTCCTAGGACGAGAATCTAAGAAACAAGCCACAAAAGCTGGGGGAGAGGGAATCGCAGATGATATGTTTGGGTAGAAGGATGTATTGCGAGGCTGCTCAGGAATTAGAGGAGCATGTAGCACACAAAGCAAATTGAGGGGGCTCCATCAGAAACCATGAAAAATTAAAACTTGAAGATTGGGTATTTCCATTTCTGGGAAGACGGAATAGATGTACTTTTCCCTGTTTTTCCAGTTAAGCACAAATAAAATGCCCAGACATTATATATGCAGTCATATAAGAAGACTCTGAAAGGTAGAGAGAAGGCAGACCAGCCAGGGACCTCAGGACCCAGAGAACAACCCCAGAGGAGAGGAAATGGGCAGGCTAGCAAGACAGAAAATGTTTAGACAATAACTACTGAGCACCAGCCAAACACGGCAGATAAAACTGTGGCTCTACCTCTGCGTCTGCCAGCAAAGGCCAAGTGGGGGCCACTTCCTCCTTCAGAGAAGACTGAGTCGGGAGCACAGACTTTTATCCCTCCTAGGCAGTAACAAACCCCTGAGGAACCTTAGGTGGTTCTGGGATGTCAGTGGAGATGTGGGGGAGCAGTAATTAGGCCCTCCTACCTCTCCCAGGCAGGGAACTGTGAGTGGAGGCTGCACAGAGAGCCGGAGCTCCCACCACGTCCAGCAGTAAAGAGGAGGCCCCCACGGGTGTGTCACTGGAGGCCAAGCGGGGAATCCGACCTTTGATCCTCACCTGGTGGTAAATAGGTGGTGCTTTTTACCCTCCGAGGGACTAGATTAAATTTTCTCACATTTGTATCATCAGAGTCCTGGAGGGAGAGAGAAAGAGGGCAGGGCTGAAAAACTTTTCAAAGATATAAAGGCTGAAATGTCTACATGGCTCTAATTTGGCAGGAGACAAACTTAGAGATTCAAAAAGCTGAGCAAACCCCAAACAGGATAAACCCAAAGAAATCCACACTAAGATACATCATAGTAGAACTTCCGAAAAGTAAAGACAAAGAAAAAAGTCTTACAAGCTGCAAGAAAAATACTTTTACTCATAGGGGAAAACAATTAGAACGATAGCAGATTTCTCATCAGAAACAATGGGGACCAGAAGGAAGTGGCACAATACTCTGCAAGTTCTGAGAGACTCTGCAGTATCAAAAAGATAATGAGAGAATACAAGCAACTCTACACACACACAGTGGACCAATTCCTTGAAAAGCATGCACTCCTACAGGTCATCTAATATAAAATAGATCATTTGAATACCGTGTAACTGTTAAAGAAATTCAGTATCTGATTTGAAAACTCCCATAAATCTCCAGGCCCAGATGGTTTCACTGGAGCATTCTATCAAACATTTATTTATTTATTTCAAAATATTAAGGGTGTACAAATGTTTATGGTTACATGGATCGCTTTTGTAATGCTTGAGTCACAGCTGTGAGTGTGCCCATCACCCAAATAGTGTTCATTGTGTCTGTTAGGTAGGTTTTCTACCCTCCCCCTGGCTTTCCTCCCCGCTGCTTGATTTCTACTGAGTTTTACTTACCTCTGTGCACATGTGTGCTCCTCAGTTAGTTACAATTTAATAGCAAGTACATGTGGTGTTTGTTTTTTTATTCTTTAGATACTTCACTTAGGATAATGGTCTCCAGTTCCATCCAGATTGTTGCAAAAGGCATTAATTCATCTATCAAACATTTAAAGAATTAACACCAATTTTATATTGTCTCCTCCAGAAAAACAGGAAGGGGAGGAAACACTTTCTGACTCATTTTGTGAGGGCAATATTACCCTTATACCAAAACCAGAACAAAACAGTGCAAAACAAAAAGAAATTACAGACATCAACACAGACACAAAACTCCTTAGAAAAACATTAACTAGGCCAGGCACGGTGGCTCATGCCTGTAATCCTAACACTCTGGGAGGCCAAGGTTGGAGGATTGCTTGAGGTCAGGAGTTCAAGACCAGCCTGAGTAAGAGCAAGACCCTGTATCTACTGAAAATAGAAAAAATTAGCCAGGCATGGTGGTGCGCACCTGTAGTCACAGATATTTGAGAGGCTGAGGCAGGAGGATCACTTGAGCCTGGGAGTTTGAGGTTGCAGTGAGCTATGATGACGCCAGCGCACTCTAGCTGAAGCAACAGGGAGACTCTGTTTTTTTTAAAAAAAAAAATAAATTAGCTAATAGAATTCAGCATTGTATAAAAAGAATTGTACACGGATCAAGTGGAGTTTATTCCAAGGATACAAGACTGGCTTAATATTTGAAAATGTAATCCATCATATCAACAAGCTAAGGAAGAAAAATCACGATTATAATAATTGATGGCAGAAAAATTATTTGACAAAATTCAGCACCCATTCCTGATTTAAAACTCAGAAAAATAAGATATGTATGTAAATAATGAATATGTGGACACCACAATTAAAAATACACTACCATTTATAATTGCTTAAAAATGAAACGTAAGTATAAATTTTATAAAACATGTATAAGATTTGTATGCTGAAAACTACATAACACTGATGAAAGAGATCAAAGATCTGAGTAAATGGAAAGACATACCATGCTCATGGATTGGACGACGCAACCTAGTTAATATGTCAGTTCTCCCCAAGTTGATATAAATGTATCACCTCCTTGAAAAGCACAACCTCCTACCACAGATCACCCATATGAAATAGATAGGAAATAGATAACTTGAATAGCTCTCTAACTATTAAATGTGAATGATATAATTCCTGTCAAAATCCCAGCAAGATTTTTTTGTAGATATAAACACGATGATTTCTAAGATTTATATAGAAGGCAAAATAAGTAGAATAGCTAAAACAATTTTTGGAAAAGAAGAATAAAATGAGAAGAAACAGGCTGCCTGATTTCAAGATATATTGTATTGCTACTGCAGTCAAGACTGTGTGGTACCTGCAGAGGGACTGGCACAGGGATCAGGGTAGCAGAATTGTGAGTCCAGAAACAGACCCATGGAAATATGCCCAGCCGATTCTTGACAAAGATGCAAAAGCAGTTCAGTGGAGAAAGGATAGCCTTTCAACACATGGTGCTGGAGCGATTGTACATCCACAGGGAAAACTTGAACCTTGCCTTAAACCTCACACCTTGTACAAAAATTAACTCAAAATGGATCATGGGCTTAAATGTAAAAGTGCAACACTTCTAGGGGAAAAAAAAACTGGAAAATCTTCAAGATGTAGGGCTAGGCGA